TTATTATAATAGGAAAAACATAACTTTAAACGTGTTTGAATAATAATAGTAATAACACATACTATTGTTTCTGTTATATGGTAGCAAGATATGAAATTAATTCATAATTAAATTACAATTCTAAATGTAAACATGTTATAACCATTTTTAACAAACCTATTCAGTTTTAGAGTAATGCTATCAAGGTCCAAATCAAGATAGTCCGCAATAAATTGGCCGATGTAGGTGTTCTAAACAAAGTGAGCATAAATTAATATAAAATTTCAATTGACTTTACGATAATAATCAATGTAAATTACTTCGTGATTTCCACGTAATGGTCCTGTGTTTATTCCATGTGCGAAAAGACTGACGTCGACACCTGTATGGCCATGTGTTGTCCACTGTATTCATAATAAAAACAGGAAAGGAGCATATCAGATCTCAATGCTTAAACGCCAAAATTACAGTTGATTTAATGAAACATGTTAATTACACCCAAACGAGCTCTCCAGCTTGTCAAATTAGCCATATAATATTCATAATCCATTTTTGTTTGATTTGCAACTAAGAATTTTACTTCGTCATCCGTAAAATCATCAATTCCTAGACAATTGCATAAAATGGTATCTTTTACATAATTATCTCGATCTGTGTTCCAATAATTAGACAATTCCATAGCTAAGGCAGATGAAGAATTTTTTATACGGGATATTACATCAGGATACCTAATATGATATATAATCTATTTAATAGTATAAACAATAAAATTGAAAGGAATCAAAATGTTCTTACCATAGATATTGAGGATAAGACGCATTTGTTTGTCGAGAGAGAGTCAGACCACCAGTTTCATGATCACTAACCTGTCAAATGCAACATTTATAGTATTAATTAATTGTAATTAAACATAAATAATGATTTATAGATAATAATATGCTACTTGAAATGTATCAGTAGATTACTTGTAATGTCATGTATGACACATTATTCAAGGAAAGAAACTTACTGATATGAGAACTGTTCCTGGATGATCATCTACATATTTGGTAACAAATTCAATTACTTGATGATAAGCCAAGATTTCATGAACGTGTGCACCTGGATCGTTCCTATAAAAAATTTGATAGAAAATTTTAGTTGAATGTTCCCTGATTTTCATTACTCCATGATTACTTACGAGTGACCAGCCATATCTTTATGAAGCATTCAACGTATATATACCAATAACAGAAACAATAGTATGTGTTATTACTATTATTATTCAAACACGTTTAAAGTTATGTTTTTCCTATTATAATAA